AGCACCACCATTTCCAACCACACAGAACTTCCAACTCGATCAAAATACAATCTGCTAAAGGGTTTTTCCCAGCCAAGCTCAGAGTTTCAGCCCATGGGACATCACTGAACACCTTGGAGAGGATCACTGATCCACCAGGCTCTGCTTTCTGAGAATTTCCAGCATGGGGAGCAGAACGAGAGGAGTATTGCTCCATGTACATCCTAAGTCACCTCCAAGAAAAGCCTTCACACTGGATTTATGGGCTCCTCGAAAGCTTCCCGTTCACCTTGCCTCACCCTCCAAAGCAGATGGTGCAGCATTAGCCAGACGGCTGGTGCTGGGAGCATCCTCTTCCTGCATAGCTTTGCCTCTGCCTGCTGCACACTGCTGGGGAAGTGCCGCGTCCCGCAGCCTGGGGAGAAGCGCATCAAGGTGGTGGCTGGCCCATGCTGGCAGGATTGCTGCAGCACTTTGTTTTTTCACCTCAGGGCAGCACAGCTCCTGCCCCCAGTCTATTACACACTTCATCGATGCCACGGCCACGCGTCGGCACCGACTGATTTCACGCTCTGGGAGGCAGAGCAACGGCCCCAGCTTCGGGTCTCATTCACACTACGCTGGGCAGGGCAACCCTGCTGCTTCCAGACTCTGGGACCAAGCCCCACAAAGCCAAGCAGAGCATCCCCAAAAGGACCCGTGCTGCCCTGGATGCTGCCCTGCTTTTCGGAATCGGCTATAGCAAACCAGCTTGGCATTGTGGCATCAAGCAGGGAAAGGCAGCCCCAGACTGGGCATCCCACAGTACCATGGTAAAAGTGGCGGTGGGAGCACTGCTCAGCTGCCTGGCACATAACGCTTCCCAGCCTGGTGCAACACAGCCTGGCGTGGCCAGGGGCATGCTGGAGCATCAGTCAGGAGGTGGCCAGAGCTCCCCATGGGCACACGCTCTCCTCGCAACATCCCCAGGAAAGTGCTGCTCATGGGAAGCTTGTGCTCGCGGCATGAGTTTGTGAGGTCTCACAGCTGCCTGAGCAATGTTTCTGCTCTGCCTGAGCCTGCGTTTCTCCTCTAGCAACTGTCTGCAACACAAACAGGCATTATTTTCTCTCAGATTTCTCTCCCCATCCTGTCCAAGGAGACCTCACAAACAACAGCAAGACAGGGCTGACTACATTGCAGACCCTAATTCACACATCACCAAATTCCTGCATCACCTGCATCCCTGCCTGGCAGGTGAGGACACCTACAGCGCAGCTCTGATGGCAAAGCCAGGGCTCCCACTGCCTTCTCCTGCTGCGGGCAGAGATGCTGGCCATGGTCTCGCAAGGGGAACCCAGGAACAGGCAAGGATGCTGAGCTGTGGGGTTTACATGGAGCACGCCAGTTCCTGGAAAAGTTTCAGTGCCACCCAGTGCCCTCCCAGCAGGCTGCCGCATTTCCTGGCAGGGAGCTGTATTTTTAGCCTCCGAGGTTTCTAATTCCACCCAATCCATACTCCCATCAATAGAGCAGATAACCTTAAAGCCTTGACAGTGAACAGGGATGGCAGCATCAGGGGACTGGGAGCCTTGGGGGACCACGCGCAACTCTCAGCAGGCAGCTTGCACACCCGCAATGTCACTCTTTACAGCCTGCCACAGATTGGGCTCTTTGGAGGGGAAAAAAATAAACGTAATAACAAGGCTAATAAAAAGGCAGGTACAAGGAGATTTTAAACAGCCCCGCTGGGGAAGCCGCCGCTCGCAGGGCTCATCCCATGCCAGGCACGCACCACAGCACGCTCACCAACTGCACAACGCCAGCGCCCGGGTAAGGATTGTCCAAGGTTTTGGCTACCCTGCACCTCTCCGGCTCTGAGCAGAGCTCCAGCCCAGCCCGCTCAGCTCACACAGCAGGCGACAGGGCCAGGGAAGGACCTGCATACCTGGGGAGAGGCAGAGTGCAGGCAAGAACACAGAGCCATCAGTCTGAGGCAAAGGAGCAGAGAGCCGAACCCGTCTGACTCCTGCCTGCAGCCCCATGGGCTTTAAGATGTCCCTGTTCCCTGCTGCTGGGAGAAAGATGCTCTCCAGCAGCTGAAGCAAATGTTGGCTGCAGGAAGAGGGAGCAAAGGCATCAAAGGCACTGGGAAAAGAGAGATTTCAATCATGCTTTTCACTTGTGATGCTCTTAAGAGATATCTGGAACATGAGAAAGGGAAGGCTGCAGACAGAGGGGGGATTTGTAAGTCGATAGTGTCCCCTCACAGCCACAGGAGGGAAAAGGGACAACAAAGCAGCAGAAGGAGTTAACAGCCAGAGGGCCAAGGGGAATACAAAGGACTTCCCAAATATACCCAGGCAGAATCAGCACAAAAGTGAAAAGATCTATTAATAAACAAGGAGGGAGAGAAAATTAATGATGGCTCAAAAATAAAGATGACTCAAAAGGGCAAAATTACTGTTTTTAACCAGAAAAATGCAAATGAGGCAGAGGCCTCACAAAAACAGCTGCAGGAAAGCAAAAGCAGCGTCTCCACATACACGGTCACCTGGCTGGCATGGCCAGTGCCGAGTCAGCTGACTACCCTGCCGACACACATGGTGCCAGGAAGAAACCAGGGCCCTGGTGACAGGCAGAGCAAACCAGGCGCCAATTCTCTGTGTGAGAAAGGACAATAAAACCAGAGCTGGGCACACGATAAAGCCTGTGCCAATCCCTAGCGCAGAACATTACAGCTGGAGGAAGGAGCCTGCACACCCACCGTGATAGGCTCCTGGATGAAGGATGTTGCCTTGCCCAGCAAGAGACATTTCGGAAGAATTGCTGGGCAAAGTTTATGGATAAGGCAAGTGAGACACAATTCAGCAGAACTTCAGTCTTACACCATCTCCGAAACTTTCACTTGAATACTGGATTGTAACTATATTTGTAGATGATACTGAGCAGAGAGGTGTTGCAAACACTGGCAAAAGCAGAGAAATTATTCAAAGGATCCGAGAAATGTAGGCAGGAAACAAGACCCAGTCTGGGAAAACAAAGGGAAAATAACCTGAAGCAGCTACTCAGTGGGCAGCAGCAGCCCGGAAAGCAAGGCCCAGAGCCCTGCAGTGTGCTCAGACTGGAAAGCAGGTGGCCAGGGTGACCGCCACAAAATGTGCAAGGGGCAGAAGCTGGTCACCAGCATTGTGCCATGGGCTACCCTGAGGCTGCAACAGCTCCATAGCGGGCAGCACGCAGAGCCCTGCAGGCAGCATGAAGGATGGAGGAGATGCCAAGAGCAAGCAGGCAAGCCATGAAAAAAAGCGTCCAGCGTCTGGGAGCACCAGCCATGTGTTTTACAAGCCATGGGAGCCCAGAGCACCAAGTGCCCAGGGATGCCATATAACTCCCCTGCCCACAAGGGTTGTCACTGCCAGTATAACCCCGTGACTCAATAAGTTGGGAGAGTTACAGGGTCAATGTGCCATGGCACCTGGGAGCTCCAGGTGCTGCTTGCCAGCAGGGTGGGCAACAGGGCTGGGACATGGGG